CCAAAGTTCATCTCATCACATATTACTTCGCTTTTCAGGTTGAGCCCTTGCAAACAAGCGGACAAACAATTTTGCCTCTCCCAAAACTAGTATGGAAACCTCAAGTAGACATAGCCTCCACCAAAAGCCGAAACCTGCAGCACTCAACCTTAGTTCCTTTTGCGGAAGGGGGCTGCTTGCAATTAGGAGTCTGCACAGTCATTGGAGTGGGAAGCAATCGCAGAGCCATCTACCATGGCATCCGCATTCACCACGATGCCTGTTAGGATAATTAGGGTTGACAGGTCAGGAGGACTTGGTAAGAAGGTTAAGCGTCATGTGCAACCCTTCGGAACAAAGAGCATTGCAATTTGGGGTTCCCAGACCACTGCCCTGCCACCCCTACTTTCCTCTCTTCATTAGGCTCGTTTTGGGATAGTAAAAGCACACACTAAGCCTTCCATAAGAGTCGTCGGGAACGCAAGGGAAAGCAGTAGGTTAGAAGCCGATGATGCAAGGAAGAATTCCCGAGCCGCCAACCCTGTACACCTGGGCCTAGTTCAATTGGAGAAAGCAGCTCCGATAGCAGAATGGTAAAACCAGTACTGGTACCATAAATAACTTCGAGAGCAACAGTGTACGTTCTTCTTTCTAGACGTGCCGGTCAGCGAAGCGACAGGGCATCCTTCACTATACTGGATTGCGGCTGACGTGATACCAGATTGCGCATGAAATCCCGAAGTTGAGGCGCAGTCTCTCACTGCTGCAGAGGGGCTGGTGCAGCCATCAACGTCAAAGCCACCTGCATGGATCATCAGAAAGAGCGGAATGAATTGTGGCACATGCTGCGCCCAGCACCACATGCATGACGGAGCTCATATATGTGCAGGAGCCCCCGAATGCCGCCCTGGAAGCCCCCCCTGCGCGAACCGGCAAACCCCCCACACCCCCGAAGTAGAATATTTCCAATGACATACAGCTGCTTGAGGAACCATGGTGCTTGCCCAACCCAAGTTGCAGAGAGCTCGCCCGCGCGTTATGTATGAATATGTCAAAATAATCTTGAGACCACCCTCTCAAACGCTGCCAATCAGTGATAGCCTGTCACCGCGGCTACCACCAAAAGCTTAACGGAGCAGGTCCTACTTACAACCCGACTCATAGCTAGGCCCCGTCCATTCCTACAAAGGGACATGCCAGACATAACAGCGATCGTCCTCCATAGCCAAAGCCACGAGAAACAATGACCCTAATTGCTTTATAATCACGCACAGGCCCGGTACTTCAAAGTGTATTCGTTGGCTGCCGTAACATGAGCCATTGTCTAAACTCCTAGTATCCCCCTTAATAACCCCTAGAGTAGTCCCCTGTATAATCCCCTATATAATCCCCCTTTAAGGAGTTTAGACCATAGCTCACATGAGATCTCAGAATCCTGTATTCCAAGCAACTAAATCGACTCAACTCTACACCTTGCACCCTCAAACCCTGAACCCTAGACCCCACTGAACACTACCTGCACCTGAAAGGTTGGTGAAATCGTCTCAAGACGCATACAAGGAGCCAACGAGTTCATTTTGTCTAGGAAATGTTGGGGTTCAGGTAGAGCTGTAAATTTAGGGGCTAGGGCTTGGGGTTTAAGGTAACCCCGGAATAAACCCGAACCAGCTAAACCGACTGGCGAGTCGCTCGCGCTGTTCAGCAGCGCTAGGGCCAGCAATGCGCCCCGATGAGCCATGGGTGCCTACATATGCACCGGCTCGGATCTAGGGTTTTAGGTTTAAGGATTTATGATTGTAGGGTCTAGAGTTAGATTTAGGGCTTAGGATTTAGGATGTAAGTTTACGATAAGAAATTTACGGTTTTATGGCTTAAGCCTGCAAATCAAAGAAAAGCAAGTGGAAAAGACCCGGGACAATGAAATGAAACTGTGTATATATATATATACTGGCATTGCATCAGGACAGTTCTGCCCAAGTGATCCTATGTAGTTCTTCTTGGGTTTGCAATGGATGATTGGTAAGCGCTGTACATACACTACCTTAGAAAGCACTGCATAGGACGTTTCGGGTAAAATGGCAAGGCTTTTGGTGGCTAGCAAGCGGAATAGTTTTGGCACTGTATACCGTGTATGAGCAAGTCTGTCCCCATGACTTCTATGTTGACGGGAGCACAATAATTCAAAATATATTACTGTAGGGCCAGAATGAATGTCAAGGCCGTGTCTCATGAGCCCAGCATGTGTAGATACCGTTATTACAACTGGAGCAGCAGAAGAACAGCGTAGACAACAATTTACTGCGGGGCTAGTAAGGAATAAGGGAATATCTCATGGAGAACTATATAGGGATTATGTTCTCTTATTGCATACTAACCAACAGTAAGACAACTCAAGAGGTTGTGATTGCATACAGAAGCTGTTGAGCTTCATTTGCATCCGAAGGTCCTGGCTGCAGACCTTGAATTCAAAATCCTGAGCCCCCAGACCCGAAAGGCCACATCCCAGCAACGGCCACTGGCAGTCCTGAATACAGCGCTCGCAAGCCAAGCACTGCGTCGGCCCAGACACAGGCAAAAATGCTGGTCTCTATCCTAAGGCTTTGTTTGGGCGTCGGGGGCTCTTTGCAGGTAGATGATGAAGATCTCGCTGGGTTTTAAGCTGCCTGAGGCAGAAGCCACCATTCAGAAAAAATGTGCAGCAGGGTGTAAGAATATTAATAACACTCAATAATAACAATCATAACCATCATAATACTAGTTTTCATGAATGTATGTTTTTCTCATGCGGTGCGGGCTTGAGCAGCGGGGCTGCAGCAGGCGTGAAAGCCTGGTTGCGTTATTCAGCAAAGCCCTGGTCTTCTTGTCTCACAGCACGGGGCGTAGATTTGTTGGTTAGCTTTCTGCTGAACTGGGTGGGAGTCCCACAGACACTACCGGCACGCACATTACACTCGGAACCCACGAGCATATGAACCACACTTCTACAGGAGGCTCTGGAACTGCGCTACATGCACCTGGTGTCCAGGAAGCTTTTCAGAACAACCCAACCTTTCTGCCTCATGCTACCGCGCGTTCATTTTCATATGTAGCTATGTCGCCAGAATGTAAAACTGAGGCAGCCTCCCAAAAAAAAAGACACTGCAACAGGACGTTGGGTCTTCAGGGAGCAGGACATGATCGTATCCAGCAGTCAAATTCCCGTTTATTTGAGGACTGTGCCTTGAATCCTACCAGACTTCCGCATAGGTTTACGAGTATATGCATGTTTGAAGCCTTGGTTGGTGGCGATCCTAATTTGGAGAATCACATTAGGCACGCCCACCCACCCCCATAAATCTTAAAGAATGAAATAGCATGTTCCCTGCTCTCGCCTTGTAGAGGACTGTATATGCCCAATAAAAACACAAACTTCCATTAAGTTTTTTACCTGATATATTTTCAGGACCCCCGAAGCAATTAGAGGATATTGCATACCATAACAGGATTAACTGCAAGTATTAGTATTATTATTATTAGTAGTAGTAGTATTAGTAGTATTGCAAGTACTAATAAGAATCATAATTCCAGTAACAATAATACAAAGAACCTATTGCTGAGGGTGTCATCCTGCGAGCTGCATGGAGAGGCTCATGTCACACAAGATTTTTTGTCAAAGACAAGTTGGGTGGGGGGGGGGTGTCAGTAGGGGCGTGCATGTGAAAAATGTTTGAAGAGGGTTGCGTAAGCGCTCGCAAAGCACTCGAAGCCGGAAGTTACCTGGTAATTGTCCGGCCCCGTATGCACCCTGAACATTGACGTGGCTTGCAAAGGCCTTGCACGCCGCTCTCACAGCACACCCATGACTTCTGACAACCCTTTGGCAGGGACTGAAGGGATGGCTTGGCAATTCAATTAAGTATTTCGAATGGCCATTCATGTCGTAGGGATGCGTTCCCTGATTCCCTACACATAAGAATGAATCTAGTTGACAGGGCTACATGCTTGAAGCCCTATACATCGCAATTTGGATCCCCGTATGCAAGGTTGTCAAAATTTGTGGTCTCCCTTGGGTCCCTAGTATATTCTGGCCCCTAACATCTAATTTTGACAACGCCGTATGATAATATTTCCTACATCATTCAATACACATGGGTTCCCTGTTGGGGACTACTATATTAGAGACTATGCTAAACTACAAGAGGGAACCCCTATGTCCACCCTTAATGGTCCCTTGTAAGCCGAATATGGACAGTAGCTGATAATAGCTCATATGAACCATTGCCTAAACTTCTAGTATCCCCCTTAATAACCCCTATAGTACTCCCCCATATAACCCCCTATATAACCCCCTTTAAGGAGTTTAGACTATAGCTCATATGAAGGTCTGAGGCGCCTAAACCCTTAACTGCGAATTCCCTGAGGGAGCCGACCGACTCGAACAGGAAGAAAAAGACCTGCGACGAAGCCTCAGCAACCATAAGCCTGGGTTTAGGAATCAGGTTTTAGGGTACCTGCAAACCCCCAGTTACCTACAGTCTTCTGGGTGATACCTACTAACCGAGGTGCACTTACTACTAAACTGTGGGCCATTGGGCTTGCGGGTAACCCTGCCCCAGGGCTCTGAATAGCCCAGAGCAGGTACTACCAAAGAAGGGCTTCCGGTTTAAGATTTATGGCTTGGCTTTAACATGTATGGTGTAGGGTTTAGGTTTTAGGGGTTCCGGGTTTAGGGTTTGGATCCGGAGGAACCTTCCAAATACATTTCATAACAGCTTGTATATCCATGTTGATGTTGAAGGCCATCTTTATGAAAAGTCGGAAGATCCTGGCATGTCAGATTGCGAACTACTGCAAAGATAACACAAAACTTCTAGAATTTTCGGCGGCAAAGGGGATTTCCTCAAATATTACATAACCCTATGGTTGAAACCTCCACAGCCCTTGTCATACCTGTATCTAGCCATGCGTGTTTTTTTTTTTCAGATATCTGTCTATAGGGTGTAGGGTTTAGGGTTACGAGACAGGCCTCAAGTGGCAATTGGTTAAATCCTGTTCACAACATAAGGGAAACCTACGCAGAGACCCAGGCATGACACTAGGAACCTAAATATGTGACTCAGATATTTGGTAGTTTCCTGAAATAGGGGGACCCCAATATAGACCCCCAAATACTATAGTCCTTAATATCGGGACCCCCAAAATGGGTACCCTTAATTTTGGGAAACCTCCATTTAAAGCTAGGGAAGTCCCAAGTGGTCGGCCGAGTCGTTGTCGAACTCCCTCCGTGCAAGGGAGAACGTTCCATCAGCCTTGGAACGCAACGTGGCCACTAGATATGGGTTTAGGGTTTAGGGTTTAGGGTTCAGGGTTTAGAGGTTTAGAGGTTTAGGGTTTAGGGGTTTAGGGACTAGGCCCAAAGGGTCTATGTAGGTATATGGCATATACTTAGGACCCAAAGGAGTTCCCATATACCTACTTTAAGGCCCAAGTATATACCATATAGCTACATGGACCCTTTGGGTAGGTATGTGCCAAGTAAATCGTGGAGCTTGTGCAGGGATGGGCTGGAGAGGCCCCTGCTGTGTCCCCATAAACTTTGAGTACAGCTACAGTCCCGGCTCAAAGCCCACCATTGGGTTGTGTAGGATGATACATGAATGACATTTGCTAGTTGGCAGCCCTTTCCAAATACCCCACGCCCCAAACCCTTACAATGGCTCTTAGAATGGATGCTGTACTGGCTCAGTTTTCTGCGCTCAGGTGAGGAGCAGTCCCCACCAAATCGGCAGACACACCAAGAAACTGCTCTTGCTCACATGGCTGCTATGTAGCTGTGGGGCTACGTACCCCTCTGGCTGGATAAGCTGCGACCCCAAGCCCAGTTGCTGAGTTTACTAGGGCAGAAAAACCGGGCTTGATTCGAGCAACCGAAGAAATGCAAAGCACGTTGGATCGTACTAGGGTTATAGGACTGGGTTGGCCCCTAAAACAATTTAAACAAAATGTTAATATATAGGGTCCCTGTATTAAAGCCATTAGGGAATATGTTAAATATCCCAGGGGCCTACCCAGAGGAACGCAAGAAAAGTAAAGTGCACCTACCCAGCTACCAAGCAGACATAGACTGCGAGGCCTGGAACGGGATCTTCACCTCCGTGCCCACGAGTCGAGCCTCATCCACGGTCTCACCATAGAGAGCCTGCGCCAAGAGGATGATGCTTTCTCACAGGGCATGCAGGAATGGATTGCGTACTGCCCACCCTGCAACAATCTAGATACGGGTACAACTAAGGGCTGGAAAACTCCATAAAGAATGTTATCCAACTGTTACTGAGTAAAAGCATTATGCAGGGAATGGATCCTTGTGCTGGCCCCTACATTATCCACGATAGTAGGGTGGTCTCTATCTTCTCTGATCTTCTCTTCCTACCTTCTTTACTAGCAAATAGCATGACAAGAGTAACTGATAGACAATCATCCCAAATTGGGAGAGTAGACTGGGGTTCTCTCCAGCCTTCGGATAAGGTTAGGGTGAAGGGTTGGCAAACTTTGCTGAACAGCTTTGAAGGGCGTCTCCTTGATTTGCTCAGCTTAGCGGAAGATACGAACATGGAAGCTGATCCGGTCTCCTTTTAATTTTGAAAGACAATTATCTTTGTAGAGCATTTTACTAGGGTACTACTGTTTGAGGGGTAGCTTGAGGACGCCCTTCGTGGAGCGGTTTCCAGAGCCAGTAAACAGAAGGAGAACTGAAACGCTCAACTGAACACGTAGCCGAAAGCCCAGATCCTGTCGTAGAGGCTTTGCTGCCACCAAAGCTGGATGCTTGTGGATGGCTAGTCCTGGGAATAGAACTTATACTGATGATATTTAGAAGCTTCAGGCTTGACACTCCCCATAACTTGGCCAACCTCAGTCTTCTACGCCCCCAATGACATCCTTATGAATGCGTAGGACACTATTTACCCTTCCTTAACCGTAGCACCACCAAAAAACCCTGAAATCGTCAAGCAAGACGGAACCCTGAAATCCTGACTGGCCATGAAGGCCAACAAGCAACCATCAGGGTTTAGGGTTTAGGGTTTAGGCATCAGGGCCGCGCAATCCTTTAGAATCCCTAGCGCCGCTGGCATAGATACCTACGAGCCCGAACACGCAAATGGCTTAGTGTCTGGGATTCAGGGGTTACTCGAAACTCCAAGCCCCTAGTTCCAACACCCTAACCCATGAAAAATCTAAACCATAAGCACCATCACATGATAACCCTCAAGCCTAAATCCTGAAACCTTAAACCCCAAAAGCTGAAGCCTACATCCACAATCCCCTTGCAGCAGGGCTCCCCGAGGTCTCTGGCACCCTCAAGCCTAAACCCTAAACCCTCCAACCTCGAAACTAAACTTTCAACCCTCAAGCTGGCCAATTTATAGAATTTCCAGAGCCTACACTGAAAGCAATTTGGGACTGTTGTGTACACAAACCAAACCTACCATGTGTAGTGAGGTCGGATGAGGTCGTCATAGTTCGTCCCAGTCAAGCCCCGAACCCCAAACCCTCTTAGGAACCCTAAAAAGCATTTAACTATGGGCATTTAACTTCTGTACAATAAGAACCCCTACCTCAGTATTTACATGCTTCCTAGTCCTCCTAAACCCTCAGCCCAATCCGCGTGGGCGACCAGGTGCAGGCCTCTTTCCTTCCTCGTAGGCCGACTTCCAGCGGAATAGTCCGGATCTGGAGAAATCTAGGGTTTCATAGGTTTGGGGTTTGGGGCTTAGGGTTTCATAGCTTTTGGGTTTTAAGGTTCTGTGGGCTTGGGGGTTGGGGTTTAGGGTTTACAAGGCCGGGCTTGAAGATTGAAGGTTAAAGATTTGGGGCTGAAGGGTTCATAGGGCTTGGGGCTAAGGTCTTAAGGCTGAAGGTCAAGAGTATAGGATCACGCGTACAAGGTTTAGGCTTGCAGATTTATCCAGAATCTATGCAGATGCTGAGGCACAGCCTTGAGTGGGTATACAGGGGACATGTCGGATGATGTGTGTCATACTGGATTCGGGGACTACGCCGTTGTAGCTAACTCGTTGGAAGCAGGCTGTATATGCCGCTTTCAATCTTAAACAATAGCTCCCCTCATAGGCTTCAAGGGATCTATCAAGGCTTGACCTTGCACACAAAACACAGACCCTACCCATCCTATACTGAGACCAGGCCATCAACCCAAATTCCAAACCTTCAATCGAAGAAGCCATGCTTAAGAAAGCCTAAGCCTCCAGACCTTCACCATGATGATATTCGTGAAGTTCTTCTGTCACGAAGGGTTGGAAGAGAAAGGCCGGCGTCTCCAAAAAGAGCCCAAATTAGAACCCTCTAACTTTCATGTGACTATCATCCCTAAGGGACTTGGAGCCCCAGTGGAAATTATAATTATGTAAATTAGGATTGTTGGTAACAGAAATTCATAATTATTTTCAGGAACCTTGTAGTCATAGGGTTCCATTGTTTGGGGCTCAGGGTTTAGGTTTTAGGGGGCTGGGGTTGAATGTCCCTCATGAATCACATGACGCTGATGCCGAGGATGTGACCGGCTGGCCAGGACCCGGCGAGAAGCCGTTGCCCTTGTCTGCACCAGGGTCCCCGGTCCTAGGCTGGGCGGCCCAACGCAGGAGCACCCCCCCCTGAAAGTCAAGCCACTTATCCCGGTATGATATCAACAACTATATTCCTCATATAGCAAGGCGAACTGCTGTATATCAGTGTAATCGTCGTCTTGGCTGGTTTCTTTGGTGTGGCTGAACCCTGAAATAGAAGTCATGGCCCATAGCTATGCTTGACACACCAAGCCTTTTACCTTCACCTGATACACTAGAGTTTAGGGTTTAGAGTTTA